CAAAATATAGTTGCTTCACTTTTAACTTTACAGCTTATTTCAGTCTTCACAGCTGTGACAAAATTTATGTCCCATGGAGACAGTAATGAAAGAATTGAGCGTTGAAAGCCTAACCAAACCTGTCATGAATAGTAGCATTGTAAATGTAAAGGTTTCCCTTGACATTTAGTCCAGTTGCGTCCAACTCTAGGGCGCGGTGCTTATCCCCGTCTCCAAGCAGTAGTTTCCGTGGTCACGTGGCCAGCGTGACTAGGCACGGAACGCCGTTACCTTCCCATGATGGTACCTATTTATCTACTTGCATTTTACATGCTTTCGAACTGCTAGGTTGGCAGGAGCTGGAACAAGCGATGAGAGCTCACTCAGACGTGTGGATTTGATCTTATGACTGCTGGTGTTCCGACCTTGCAGCACAGAGGCTTCTGTGGTTTAACCTGCAGCGCCACCATGTCCCGCACTGAGATAAATTAATTGGGACCTAGAGATTTGAATAAGCAGTCATCTTTATTTAAAGCTGCTATTATGTCAGGGAAATGTTTGCCCATGGTAATCTTCCTCAGTGCTCAGATTATTCAAAATGTAAATTAGTTTTACATTCATAAAACAATATTACGATGGTATACTCCTCAGATTGGACAGTAAAAGAAACTATGGTTGGCTTTCTGCATTTTCATATTTGAAGTGATGTCAAAACACCAGCTTCTAGATTTTTTTCATATTATTTTCTACGGAACAAAGGAAGCAAAAGACTTGTCCCCCTCAATCCTGCTGCAGTGGTACACAGCACATTTGGTCCTGGGTTAAGTCTGTAATAATTAAGCTTCTGTAACACTTTGCACATCTATAACACTGTGCATATGTAACTCCATGTCCTGCCTTTGTGCATTATAATGTCAGAGTAGCCAGGCCTCTGGTATGTCCCAGTCTCTCATTCTTACCTGAGTGATGCATACAAATATAAATATAGATCAAAGGCTTGTATTCTTATGCACGCAATATAGATGAGGAGCGGGAGCAGTACAGATACGGGATAGCAGACCCTTAAGACTCACCACTAAGACATTAAGTCCCCACCTTTGTCACTTACCTGCTCAATCGAAGAGTGTACTCAATATTTGTTCACAGGCGATCACATTCTTCTAATTACAACATATTGCCTAAAGCTACTTAAAATATCATCTACAATTTGTATGAGTTTTAAATTGAGGAGTAATCTAGGCTCTTCATTAGCAGTTATTCTACCTTGCTATAGATGAGGAAAAGGAAGGACAGCAGTGGCTTATTCCCATGAGCTTGGCTGGGACAAAGTGCCATCTGGCCCTTCTTCAAGTGACTCCCTCGGTGGCCATTCCACCCGATCATTAAGCAGTGATGTCACCAGCTGAAGATTTAGTGCCAGACTGTTCTTCAATTTCCTCCCCCATCCCTTCTTGTACCATGTCTTTATATCACAAACCAGAAACCAGAAACTGTATTTGGCAGATAGTACTGAGAAAAATTTAGCCGCTTATACTTAGTACTAACTGGAAAATAATGATGGAATTACACCTTAGAATTAATGGGACATAGGTACTAAACTCTGCTTCTCTTTAAAAAAAACACTTCCGACATCACAGTTATCCAGTTTAATGCACAATCTATGTGTGCTATTAGCATTAAGATGATCTTTATACAATGGGTCATGATGGTCAGTAAACAGCATTCTATGTAGTCTGTGTTGTGCACTCTTCTAGGTAAATCTGAATGTTTTTTGACCAGACTGGATAAAAACCAATGATATTTTAAAATCGGTTTGATTTAAATCAAATTGACCTTGCTTTTGGCCACACAAGAAAAACATCCTTGCTTTAATGCAGGGCAGTGAATTATATACTGTAGCTATTGTCACCACCTTAAGGAGAGTTCACTCTTGAGACATTCTGCAATGGCTTCTGTTAGATAAGACTGCAACAAAATTAGCAAAAAAAGCGACATTTAAAGGAGGCATTTATTATTAAAGATGCTAAGGAACTGCATAAGAATATTTCAGTTTAGGAAAAATGCATCATTATAGTTCATTGTCAGGTCATCACTTGCACAGTCATTTTATTCTTTTGAAAAGACATGCAGCAGATCAGTTTCAAAGTTTTAAATAATCCTTTTGGTACAATAACTTGTAAATCATAGAGAGTGTCTCACTTTCTATGTATGGCTGTTCTGTACATTTCTGTCGCTGGCAAACAACACAAAGAGATATGGATGCATACAACTGAGAGAGAATATTCACTCTGAAATATAGCTGAATTATAACCATTTAATATCAGCATGTAAAAGATACTCTAGCTATCCAGCTCTCCTTTACAAAAGTGGAATGTGGAAAATTCACTGACAGATAGACTTCTTCTATTTCTTTCAACACAGAACAGCATGTGGGGGGCAGTCTGCAGCCAAATACTGGAAGAGACGTAGAGGATACTACATTGACATTAACACAACATTCTCAACTCATATTCAGAAATACCACGAAGACAGAATCTGGTAGCAGGTTTTTGTTAACACAAAATTCACCATCACTGAACTCAGCTCCAGTGCTTTTAAAACAGTATCCTCAAGTCATATTGTGATCCAAAATATTGCAAGTGAAACATAAACTTGTGCTTACCTTTGCCCAGGTATAATCAGGTCATCCATGCTTGTGTAGACATGCAGCATTATAATTCATAAAACTGTTACACCATATATGCTACCCTAACAATGTAAGGCAGTGGTTTCATTAAAAATGTAAAATATGGAGTGCTGAGAGTCCCTAAGGCACTTCATTAGATTCTAGTTGCTCAGACGCCTTAATGCAAAGAGCACCTACAGCGAGATTTTTCAGAAGTCAAGAATTTGATAGTCAGCAACTATTGTCAGCCATCAGTCTCAAAATCATGGTAGATAATTTAGAACTTTGTACAGTGAATTATTCAGATAAAAAAGTTAGCACTGGTCTGCACACACTGGCCAGGCTCCAGACAGGCAACACACCACGTATAGAGCAATCTTGTTCTTTAAAGAAGTGTCCAGTCTTTGGGAAATTTCTGTGTGAAATGGTTATTAACAGGTACAGCGTGTAAATGAAAAACTTCAGGTTGCTTCCATGGATTGCAAAAAAAGTGAACCATTAGTTTTACAGCAGAAACATAACCCATACTTGGTTTGGTATGAATAATTGCAATTTAAAATTGTATGTCCTATGCTGAGAAGGTATTTTGCTATTTTAAGGACTCAGTTACAATGGCATAGGACCCACTTCCTCTTTATGGAAGGATACATGTTATAGAGAAAATTTTCATTAAAACTGCGAAGAATACTTTCCCCAGAATAGCATGTCTTCAAGACATTAACAGAACACTGTTTTATGTTAATACAGTAAGTTTAGCTCTATTTAGAACACACACATTTCTGTAAGACACTTATCTCCCAAACCCAACCAATTACTAGAAAGTCTGAGGACCAGTTCTTACAACAACAAGGTGGCTGAATTTATCAAGCTTATGGTGTACAGAGAAATCCATTTTACAAATATAATCTTATTTGTGAAACCACCAGCAGAAGCTGATGAAAAAAGAACAGATTAGAATAGAAATATCTAATTTTTCTGCATGCCAAACATTAAGTGACTTTGTCTACTCTCTATAACTCAGCACCCTTGGTTTACTTTGATCCAGTCTGGATCCGAAGTATACATAGGTCTGGGAGATTTAAATCTCAAATATTTTGTATATAAAAATTCACATACACATGGCAACTACAGAGTGTAGAGTTACTATTTTACCTCTGCACCACAGGCTTAGATCTTTAGATAAAAAACAGATAAGGAGAAAGCTTTAAACATCTCCCATATGGATAAGGATTATGCCCCATAGAGATGGGGGTATTTGTATATGAATATCCCTGCACAGGTGGAAATAACGACAGTCTGGCCGCATGGAGCTGGACAAGGTGGAAATAACGACAGTCTGGCCGCATGAAGCTGGACAGTCCACTCATGATTTCACCGCTGCCACCGGCTTTGCGGAGGCTTCCTATCACGTTCGCTGCTGCCACCGGCTCTGCGGAGGCTTCCTATCGCATTGTTCTCTACAATGGATTAGCCATTCCTGACCTAGCACAGAGGCTTGTCATCCTGCTTCCTGCCAGGACTGGGTATCAATTGCTGACAACAGCACGACAGAAAGTCTCTGCGGAGCCAGTGGCGAAATCATGAGTGGACAGTCCAGTCCCATGGGGCCGGACCCTCGTTATTTCCACCTGTGCGGGGATATTTGTATACGGATATCCCCATATCTACCCATTACTATGGGGGGGGGAAGAGTTATAGGCTGGAAAACATATTTAATACATCATGTAACTTAATTGTCAAGCCAAGCTATATGTGACATTAAATATATTTTGCGTATTGACATCAGTTCCCATTTCCTTAAAACCAAGTAGGCCAGAAGTTGATTACATCATTCATACAAAAAATGATTATGCTCTTCCCAGAAAAGAGAAGCCTGGGGGAAGAGGGAGCTCTAATTTGTACTTGTACTAATCACTTGATTTCAACAGAATGACCAAACCCTGACACAACTGTAATATATTTGAACAATGTACAACGTAAGACCACCTACACGATTACTTAAAACACATTTGGAATAAAGACCCCAATTCCATTTAATAAAGGTCAGCTTCCCTTGCATCTAGGCTTCTGATAAGTGAACTATAATGAACACACACTCCTTCTCTGGTGCACAGATGTGAGGACCTTTGGTAACAGGCTGGGTCTAAAATAAGGAAGAGTTCCAAATGTCATTCTGAAAGTACATACATAATTCAGGCAGTTTAGGTAAATAATGAAACACATTTGCCTTTAACTTTCAATATGCAACACTAAGATAAATCAACTATACACATTCACACCAGAGTTAAGGAATCAGTATTTCAGGTGTACTTCTATTGGATCTGGATTGCTTCGTTACATTTCACAACTCAAGTGGTGGAATATTATAATGCATATTTATTTAAGATGTAAAAAAGGGCAAAAAGTCATACTGTACAAGATAAAAGGCAGCAATTATTGGCACAAATATACCTGGGTATGAAAATACAAGAAACACATATTGCATAAAGGTCAGTGGTGATTTGTATAGGGCAAAAGGTGTTGAAACAGCAGCATTTTCTTCACATTTTATCCTCTGTGCAAAGGCAGCATTAAGAAGATAATTGTATTTACAAAAAAGGGGTAAGAAAATAACTGTAAATCTCCAGCTGTTTCTAGTTGAGTCTATTTTTGAAATAACTTTTTCCTAACCAGGCCAAGTGTAAACTTCTGTTGCTATTGCTACACAATTCATGCTAGGTGCTCAATCAAGTCTTCCACAGTGTATATGATAAGTCTGATATCATCCTTCTCTTTCATTCGATGAAAACCACCTTTGCGGAGAATAACATCCACATCTGTGCTGACAACATTCTCAGCAACCTTCATGGAAATCTGCCATGGGACATCTTCATCCTTTATGCCATGGATAAGTCTCACAGGACACTTTATGGGGAGAGGACTACTCAATACACAGTGATTTTCTGCTTCCTGGATTAGTTGATAGGGCACAGTGTAAAACCCTTCTTCATTGTATTTGGTTGGCAGTTTCCATTCACCTTTTTCTTCTATTTCCTTCTTAACCTAAAAAGTTGAACATATCGTAGATTGTAAGACTTAATTAGCAGAAGGGATAACACTGAAGTGTTCACCTGCACATTTGAATAAATGGGACTTACGGAGGAGTAAACTCAACAAATCCACACTGATTCAATGGGCCTATTCCAGTGCCACTTACTACACTAAACAGGATTTAAGCAGTCATGGATTTACATCAAATGAACACTGAGATCAGTAGAGAAAGTTCAAACAGCATTATCTATAACTGGACTATACACCCTTCTCACACCTGAGACAGCACATGTTACAATACCTTAAGAAAACACTTGTGAGCTTGAGTTAGGGTAGCAACTATGAAACTGAGCTACAGGATAAGAAGCTTTGCTTTTGCTATGAATTCATTAGATGCCCTGGGACACCAATTCAAAAAGGATCTCTCTCACGCTCACCATCCATGGCTGGAGGAAAAGTTATCCATCTATCTAGTTCCAAGCATTGTATAGCTTTTTTAAAAAGTGCCAGCATTTTGAGTTGTGTATAGAAATGTAGCAAGTTCTGCAAGAAGTGGCATAAAACTTTCCCTTTGTTTAGTTCTGATTAGAAACCTGATGTTTACACTTTAGATTAACTGAACATTTTGCTTTTTAAAAAACATTATTTGAAAGGAGGCCCATATCCAATACATGGCAGTGATCCTGTCTTTACCCAGGCACTGATAATGGTAACCAGGCTCTCTCTACCCTGGAAAGCTACAGCTTTTTTCAGCTGGTGAAGTTCAAACGATCTACCACCCTTCCAAAATTTAAATTTATTTATTTATTAAATTCATATGCCATTCCATTAGAGCAAGGCACTATTCTGGGAAGTTCACAGCATAGTAAAATGAAATAAACTACAAGCAAACAGCAACAGAATAATGAAACAAAACAAATTAAACACAAAAATTAACTCAACCATAAAAAAATCCTTATGATTTAGGGAAATCACAATTTTATCTAGAATAGGATGACCATCAACTTCTAACAGTCAAATGCTTATCTTTGGGATTTAGCTTCAGTGCACTGGTTCTTAATTTCTCTTTTGCTAACTCTATCAATTCAATACTTCCAGTGTCTCATCCAAACATGTACCTGCATGGGTGTACATGTACTCCCCTGTGTCATCCACACACTGATGACACCAAGCATCAAGGTCTCCAAAGACCTTACTCTGAAGATGCTGAATAGCACAAAGAACACAATGGGACTGTGCAACAACCCCATGATATCAATGCCACCAGGCCAAACAACAGTCCCTTACCCATGTAAAGGCCATTCTTCACCACACTTCAGTTGTTCCAATTATAGATTTTAGCTAGTTTTTAAGTAAAATAATTTGCATGGTATTGTAAAATGTTTTACAGAACATATCTTAATAATGGGAAAGGTTTTGGCTTTTTGCAAGAATCTTGAGGAATGTCAAGAGCAAATAATGTCCTTTGCAATGCTTCTCCACAACACTGAGTTCTACATTAAAAAACACACCAGAACATGTGCTTTTGGTCAGGAAAGCCAACATCTCTCCTTACCTCTACAGGAAGTTGTTGAAAGGTTGATACAAAGTGGTCTGCCGCTACTGCTATTCCAACCAGTGCAGCCACCTTTTCTGGACGGGCAATAGCAGCATGAAGCATCAGCCACCCACCCAAACTGGAACCAACTAAAATCTTAATAGAAGAAGAGTATTAGTATTAATGTTGTTTTTTAAAAAAGAAAAAAACAGCAACTATAAATGTCTGTTATGTATTTATTGAAGAACTGTATTACCATATAATAATTAAGATTAAGTGATATAAAAATGACTTATTAGAGCATACATATCAGGTGACTGTACAAGCATATCAACAATTATAGCTGCTGCTTTTAGAAGATAATGCAAAAGCTTAATAAAAAAGAAAAAAATTCAGGGTGTGTTTAGGATTAATAGATTTTTTTTAATTGGCATGTCTGTGGATTACAATCTGCTTCCTCTGGTATATTTGAGCAGACTGCAATCCATAAAAGCTCAAGCTAAAAGAAATCTGATTGTATTAAACATTTTCCCATTTTTTTATTATAAAGAAATAAACTCTTCAAAAATACTTTAGCTGAATAAACTGAGAGACTGAAAGAGTATTTTATGCTAGGCTATAAACTAAAGACAATCAACCTGTGGTCCTTGTGTAAGTTCATCCAATATTGAAAGGACATCCTTCCGCCACTTTCCCAACGTAACTTCTTTAAAATCGCCTTCTGAACTTCCACAGCCTCGGTAATCAAACCTGCATTTAAAAAAAAGGAATGACAATGCAAATATTACTCTCTTTGTACAAATCACACTCAACAAGGCCACTAGATGAAAATACTGTCCAGCAACACAGCTGGAATGTAATTTACTATCCGAAATAACAGGAACAGTGTTAACATAATTTTGAAGACTCAATAAAAAGAACACATCTCACTCACTCAGCACTAGCAGGCTGTCTTAAAACATACCTTACAAAAGCATGACCAACTGATCTGCAGTACTCTTCTAGGGCAAGTGCCTTGTCACCATTCATGTTTGAAAAAAGACCTGGGAGGAAGACAACTCCAGGATTCTTGCCTTTCAGCTTATGATAAGCCAGTTTTGGAAGATCAGAACGGTTGAGAAAACTGTGCGATGATTTCTGTCTGCAACCTAAACAGAAAATGTTTTGGAGCCATTTATACTTTGCCTGTTTGATGCATGCTCTTTTTGAGAGTTAGCAGGGACTTGACATCTGGTTAAAATCTTGACTTATTTGCCTATTCTAGCTACATTTATTTATTTATTTTAAATTGCTGTTCATAAAAATCTCCAAACCAATACCAAAAGGCACAGTATACATGTCATGACACAACTAAGACTTCGACAGATCACTGGACTGTTTAGCCCAGTATTGTCAATTTGGATTGGCAGTGGTTTTCAGGAGCTTCAGGGTTGTTTGAGAAACCTGGTATTACCTGATGGACTCCTATCCAAGTACTAATCAAAGCCAGCCTTGCGTAACTTCTGAAATATGACAACACAGATATATTCAGGGTGCTATGGTGGTGCATAGCCCAAGCTGATTAGTCCTATTAGTTAAAAGAGAAATATAAATCATACAAAATAATGCAGGAACTATATCTTGTTAAAATATTTATTTGAGAAACACTGGACTAAATAAGTATTATTTTGCTTGCCTGTTACACACATTTGTTCTATAACAGTACATGGCTTAACTGTACTACCATCTTGATCACCAATCTGCTTGTTTTCCCTGTAACAGTAGCTTGTGACTGTGCAAAGCTGTTATGACAGAGGATGTATTCCAGAACATATTTAGCCATTTGCCTGGTACCCAAAAGCAACAAGGAATCCTACACAGGTGAGTGCATGGAATGTCATCCAAGAAATGAGCTGTCTGGCACAGGAACAACAGAATGTTTTACTGTTCATTTCTCATGTATGCTGTTCAATTTCTGTGTTTCCTGTAAGGCAACTGAAATTCTTTCCTCATGAATCAGTATAGCAGTGAGCAAACTGGAGACACAGAGAGGCTGACATCCTCCCTATATCCCCAACAAAAGAATGAAGAGGGATACAACCAGGAATTGTTCCACTCCTCTGTTGTAGGGAACAGTGTTGTATTTCTAGTCAGCCCATTTTTCCTGACAATAGAGGCTAGCAAAGGAGGAACATGGCCTCTGTATTCTGGAAATCCTTTTCATGTGTAAAAAAGTTAAATAAAAATATTTTACAGGCTAGTAAATGGTGCAGGGGCTTACAAACAAGATTGGTGTGTTTATTAGCCATAACTAAGCTGCAATAAAAGACATCTCAAAATAAGTGCGAGGCTTGCAGTCAACAAAGAAAGTGGCGCCAGTCAGTACTGGTACACTGCACTGATTTCAACAGCTGCAACAAAGACAGATATTAAGGTGACATCTATTCTAGACAAATATTATTTTGTAGATTGCATTACTTTTATTTAAGTATTTAAATGGTGATTACATAAGAATACAACACATATCTACAGTCCCCACATTTCTGGAGTTATTATTGTAGCTGGGAAAAAGCAGTTTACAAAAGCCCCACGATTGGCCCTGAACTATATTTCCACACAGCACAAGCATATGCCAATGCTTTCAAGATGTACAGATCTGTTGATCATGCCTCTGGCTTTCAGAGGTTGGAAGTTCGATTCCCCACAGTGCCTCCTTGACGGGGCTGGACTTCATGATCCAAAGCGTACCTTCCAGCTTTGCAGTCCTAAGATGATGAGGATGATAAGGAAAAGTGCATCTCTAAGGGCTTCAATAGAGATCAATCCTTCTTAATATACTAGATATATTAATAACTCAGTCTTCTGTAATATTTTACGGGCATAAAAGTCTTCCTTAACCGACTCTGACATCTGCTTCAGCAATAAATCTTAGCAGTCCAGTGTGTCCGTCCAGTCTAGCTCATCACCCCAGCTAGGATCTGCTAATTAACAGCTTGAAAGCCCCATTCCTGTGTTAATGAGCAATTGCCACTACTGTATGCTTATAACGTGTATCCTCCTCTAGACAGGAATTTCACCAACACGGAATAAAGAGAGGGGGGCATGCCTGTGTACTCCTGTGTCTGAAGAAGTGGATTCTGAGCCCCTTACCCAACAACTGAGGGAGCCCCAGTCCCGTTCTCCGGGCGACGGCCGGACCGTAGCTCAGCCTCTCCCGCCACAGCAGCCTCACAGCGCCCGCCACCGCCATGCCTCCGGCGCACCTAGAGAGCCGACAACCGCGCACACCCCCTTCCGCAGCCCAGGCCAGCCTGCGTGCGATTGGCTGTCGCAGGGGAAGGAAGAGGAAACGGCCTTCCACGCATGCGCTCAAAGCCGCTCGCTCTCTCTCTCTCTCTCTCTCTCTCCCCGGGAAAGGGGGGGCGGTGGGTTTTTTTTTAACCGTGATGTTTTCCGCTCTATATAACAAGTCCTCAAAGCGGAATGTAGATTATTTTAAAAAATTTGTAGAGTGATTTTTTTTTCCTGGAAATGAAATTAGCTGTCTTTTGACTCCTTTTTGTTTCCTTTGCCACCTGCGACATAAACTTCGCAGGGGTGATTAGGAAAACATGGAGAAATCGTGCAATTGTTAGGCTCAAACCACCTCAAGAGTTGGAAGCAAAGAAAAGGAGGATCCAAAGGGTTCTCCAGATAAACTTTTCTAAGGCAACGGCTCTTGATTTATAATTTCTTCAGCCGCTAATACATGGTGCGAACGCAAATTCAGGGCATCGTGAGGGGCGACCCTCTATTTTTATTTTTCGCCAGCCTTATGTAGACCTCAGGAATAACTCATATTATTTTGGACAATGATTTCGACAACGTGACAACCGTGCGCTAGTAACAGTGCAGGGTGGAAAATGAAGACCCAACAATTGCACACTGATCCACTGGCGCACATCTAATTCTGGAGCAAGCTGGGAGAAATTTGTTTAATTTAAGGCTGAACTGCAATTTAAAAAGAAATTTCCCTCCCCCATCAGTGTCCCTACCCTGCTCAATTAATACAGAGTCACTGGGGTGTTGTTGGATCTTGAGTCCGAAAAAGCACACACACACACACACATCTGAATTTAGAAGGCAATCTATGGCCACATCCATGGGAATTTATGAGTCGGAAAGCAAGAACATTTCATGAGAAAATATGGATTGGCTTGCAGTGTTAGTCTCTAGTGGTTCAGGTGTCTATGAGTGCAAGCCTTGATTTCTGTCAGTTTGAGAGAGAGCCCTAATTGTGTTCTTTTATTTTCCTTTCCTAAGATTTGCATGTGGTGTTATTCTTGCCATCTCCTATTTGACCACATCCAGCTTCCCAAGGTTCATAGATCTTACATTCCTGGTTCCTATGCAGTATTTTTCTTTGCAGCATCAGACTTTCCTTACATTTATAAGCCACTAATAAGAAATGTTTAAAAAAACATGCAAAATGCATGGTTTGGTGGGTGAATCACATGATCAGAGGGACTGCTGACATCATCTTCAGGACTCAGCCAATCCTGAAGGTGGTGCTGCTGCTGCCTTGGGAACCCAGCCCCTTTACTCCTGGGTCTTTGTCACCTCACAGGGGCCTCACCTCTCTGCTGGCAGATAAAAGGGGCTTGTTGGGCAGGGCAGGAGAACAGAAGGGAAGCCAGTGGCCAGAGGGCAGTCTGAGGCCGCAAGGGGGAGACCGGCAGAGGTTGGCGGACCAGTTTGGGGAAGCTTGGTGGATATCGGTGGATGGAAGCACGGGAGTTTGTGCGAATAGCTGGTGAAGGTGTGTGTGTCTCGGGCCAGGGGGCTGTTTTGTGCCTGTGTATGAATGGGCTGGCTGGCATTCCGTGGGGATGTCACCAGGGCAAGTGTGTGTCCCAAGCATTTGGGAGCTGGCGGAGCCTGGGTTCAGAAGCGGAAGAAGAGATGGGTAGATATTCCTGGTGGAGGCCAGTGGATGCTGGCAGGCGGAACTTCGGGATGAAGTTGCCAGAACATTGGTCGGTGGATACACCTGGGTTGAAGCTGGGTGACGGTTGTGGATGAGCTCGCCCCTTAGCTGTTTTTTCTCTCTTTCTCTTGCAGGGCCTCACCTCTCTGCTGGCAAATGAAAGGGGCTTGTTGACCAGAAGGGAAGCCAGTGGCCAGATGGTTGCCTGGCAGAGGCAGCTGGAGCGGCTGGAGGGGACCCAGCCCTTCTACCCAAGGCAAGTTCCCTCCTGAAAGCAGAGGAACTTGCTAAGTGGGCTTGCGAGTTAACAGCTCAAGGCTGGCGGAGATCCGTGGCTTGAAGCTGGCTGATGTCGGCAATGGACCGGGAGGAAGTCGGTGGCCATTGACAGACAGAAGCTGGTGGAATCTGCCTGCGGAAGGTGGCCAAGGGCACAAGGCGGAGGCCGGCAGAGGTTGGCGGATGAAGCCGGTGGTGGACGTTAGCCTCTTGAAACCAGCTTGGGGAAGCTTGGTGGATATCGGTGGATGGAAGCATGGGCGTTTGTGTGAATGACTGGTGGAGTGAAGGTGTGTGTGTGTTGTGGGGGATGGTTTGTGCCTGGGTCTGTCTGTATGAATGTGTGTGTGAATGGGCTGGCTGGCGTTCTGTGGGAATGTCGCCGGGGCATGTGTGTCACCCAAGCATTTGGGAGCTGACGGAGGCTGGGTTCAGAAGCGGAGTGGAAGAGATGGGTAGATATTCCTGGTGGAGGCCAGTGGATGCTGGCAGGCGGAACTTCGGGATGAAGTTGCCAGAACATTGGT